AAAAAAAAAAGAAGGTTCAATTACATGAATTAGCAACTTTACTCTTAATTTTAACTTTTATAATCGAATAAATAAATAATATAAAAATTAGCTCAATTTTGTAAGATCTCAAAAAGTTATATATTTATATTATGTATATAATATGTACTATTCTGAAAGTAAAATTAAAAAATTAAATATGTTTATGATTAATATTTAACAAGCTAATTTTACGCTCGATTATATTAAATTTATTATATAATTTTCTAAAACTAAATTGAAAACTAATTTAATTTGTGATTCATATCTATCGAGCTATACAGATGTTAAATGTCAACCATCTTTGATTAGCATACTTAAATATTGATATGAGATACTATACCGGGTTGACTAGACCCGAGAAGCAGTGCAACTAAATTAGGTGAACTCGCAGGTCAACCGAAGGATGGAAACCACAAAGGTTGTTGAAGCATCAAGTCTATGGTGACTCCACCGATTAGGAAATGCGCTAATAGGTCGAGCGAGGGCTCCTGTATGACCTGGTTGAAACTCGATGTGGGAGTATGCAGGTCGGTGGATCGACCTGTAGGACAATACATGAGAATAGTGAGAAGACAATCTAGCTCGATGCCAGTTGAGTTGGTCGTATGATTAGACCGTCTAATAGTGCACACAGAGAGGTAAAAGGGGTGAGGTATGACAATCCAAACTCTACACACTCTAAATACTTACAAAGCTTACATACAGTATTCATTGTCTTATTCATCACCGTGGACTGACTTGATCGTCGGAGCGCTGACGTCGGGAACCTCTCCCGGCCCATTTTGCAGGTCCTTGGACATGTTAAGAACCAAATCCAAGTCGTGCAAATCCAGTCAAGGTCTCTTTGCATACCAAATATGTAATGACTAAAAAATAACATATTCGAAAGATATAGAAAATGGGTTGTTATGAATTTCTTGGTGCAGTAAAAATACGGATCAAGTTATTATAGTAGGAAATGAATAGTCACATAATAGCCGGAACTGGGATGCCTTAAAATATGGGTCGCCACATAATATACAAAAATTGACCATAAAAAGATATTAGCATCGTAGTGTATTATTGATTGGTTGTTCGCTTCCCTGTTTTGAAGTTGCTAGGCTCAATTTATACACAAAAAATTAGAAAATAATGATGATATCGTATCAACTAACGGTGTGGGGGAGTGACACGCATTCCCATACAAGAACTCGTCTTTTGATGATGGGACTGGTTGGATGGTCGCTTTACCACTTTGCTTTACTGATTCTTATTTCATACTGCAAAAAGATTAACACAAGAATACGCTAACCAGTAGGCCGACATTATTGCCGCAGGACTGAACAAACATGTTGGTTCGTGGGCTTCCTCTCTCTTTAATGCCCAAAGTGGTATGAACCTTATACTTATCATGGATGATGCATAACTATTTATGCATAACACGTACTATTTTGAAAATAAATTGAAAAATAAATTAATTTATGATCAATATCTGGCGATCTATTTTTAGGCTCAGATAAATCATAGTACATCAATATATTCGATAAATTGAACTTGTTTTGCTGCTTAAAGCACTTGCCAAGATTGGCCTTAGAAAGCACTGAACATAGTCCAATACTATAGTGCTGAACAATAGAACAAGTGAACTCGCAACTTCTAAAAGTTACATTTCAGTGAGTAGAACTTATTGAGATCAAGAGTATAAGGGTGTGTTTGTATACCAAATATCTCAAATCATACTCAATTCATCCTCAAAATCACCCAACATTAATTCAACCACAATATTCTCATTATTATAAATATTATTAAATAATATCAAACCAATCATTTTTACACATTATAATCAACTTTAATTAACTGTTCATCAACTCACATAATTTTAACTAACTATCACTCCATATCATGTCTTGCATTTTACATCAAATCAACTTTAGTTATTTTATTTTAAATAATATTTTAATATAAAAATAAAATCTAATAACGACTAACCATATATTTTTTTTTTTATGTTAACTCTGGTTAACAAAAAAAACTCATTTTGGCGAATATTTTAGAATACAAACATGACCTAACCCGTGTTGGAACTTGGAGGCCTATTCCAAGTTTGTGCTCACGAGTAAAAAAAAATAAAATAATAATAATAATAATAAATAAATAAATTAATTAATTGGCCTTAGTAAATGTAAGATTGTTAGCTAGAAAAAGGGTTATAACTTCGTGTTCACGAGTGAAATGACTAACGCAAGTGGTACGAAGTCCAAATATGGGTTAATTACATCGCCGTCCTTGCTGCTGTTGATTGTTTGTTTAAAACCCTTTTTTTCTTCTCCACCAACTCGCACTTAGACCCATCTCCCCCATCAGCCCCGGAGCACAAAGAATGTGAGTCTCAGATTCCGGCAACCTTTCCCTGTAACCAAATCTATAACTTTGTCACTCAACTGCCTTCTCTCTATCTCTAACTCGCTCTCTCAGTCCTTGTTACAACAGCCAAGAACCCTTTTGTGTTGGGAAGCGAACAGTAAAAGAGGCCTTCAGTTTTGGCCTTTCTTGGAGGCCTCCTTACGAGGGCTGGCGTCTCCAGGTCCTTGTAAAGAAAGAGGCTATTAAAGATTGGATTTTTTTGGCTCTTTGTAGTTCATCTTGTGCTCAAACGTGGATGCCCATTTGGATTTTTGGATGGTTCGTCTGCTCAACTCTTAAAAAAGTGTTTCTGGGTTTCTGTGAGGCCTGAACCCGTCGCTAGTTTTTTTCTCCTTTGACTTGATTTTTGCAATCTTTGGGCAGATCCTCGTGTTTCCTCTCTTGCAGTTGTCTCCTTTGGGGTTTTTCTTCTCTTGTTGTTTTTCGAGTCTTGAAGGCGTTCTCTTCCTGGTCAGGCTGAGACTAGGAACATAGAATTCCTGGGCTCCTTTTTTTTTGGCTTCACTTTTTTATTTATTCTTGGTGGGCGTAGTTTTAGCTTTATAAATTAGGGTTTCATCAGGAGTCTGTTGATGGGTTCTGATTGGATGATGTAAAAGTTTCTTGAAATCTTACCAACAATGGCTGTCAACCAGCGTTATTTTGTGGAATGGAAAGAGCAATATGTGTCTAAAGAGAAGGGCAACCGTGTGGTTCACTATTTCTTGAAAGATAATTCAGGGGAATCAATTCTTGCTGTTGTGGGTACGGAGAGGAGTGTTCGGCACATGTTCTATGTCGTCTCTGAAGAGTTCCTTGGTGCCCATGGAACGGATAGCGCGGTTCAGGCCAGCTTCAGATGGAGATCCAGGCGAGAGGTTGTAAATTGGCTTACTTCCATGTTGTCTAAACAACACAGAGGAGATTCTGCAAGTATGTGCTTGTTTTCTTATGCTTAAGCACTTGCTTATTAATTGAAAGGGTCTTTGTATTTTGGGCTATTGGTAATCAGACTGCTGTCAATAGTTACTAGTGTACATGCTGTGTTGATTTTCTTGATCAACTTCTTTTAGCACGTTGCAATTTTGGCCTTTTGAGAACTGATTTTGGAGAATTGTCATTGTTCTTATTGATACTTAAGGCTTTATGTACATACCCAAATAATGGTCAATTTGTGAGAGTGTCTGAGTTGATGCTGTATTCACAAGCTAAGTTTGTTCATATTGCAAGCAGTTTATTACTCTTTTCAAAGAATATCCAGTTGGTACTTGGACTGGCTGCAATCATGATCCATCATGTTAAATGGTAATATGTTGTATATGCTATGGTCTTTGCGAGAAAGCATACGCATAAGTGTTGGTTCTGGTCAGCGAACCTTGTAAAACTTAGTTTTTGTGAATGTAAATTTTATTCCAAATTACTCCTGTACGAAGTGCCCCCAGGTTTTTCTGTCTGAATAATACGATACAAATGTGCTATAAGAATATTGATTAATTGTGTTTATCTCTGATAATAGTTTTGCGAAATGATAACCTTACTGAGAAGGAAAATATGCAGCAGACCCAGGTGCCATCTCATAAGGTATATGCTTGTTCGTATGCATGTTTCATGTACATAATCGTTGGATTCCTTACTTTTACATAATATACTACAATTTTTTTTTTCTTTTTTTATCTCAGGGTCGTTTAGCTAAGAATTTGAAAAGTCGTCCTTTAGGCATTTCCTGGTCAGGCTCCGCATGGATTTGTGGTAAACAGTTGAAGCATTATCCGGAATTTTGTCGCAATGGGATATCGATTGCAGTAAGCTTCTTTAATTTCATTAATAAGGAAGTTTTGGGACAACAGAGATCACTTGAGATGCTGTCATTTAACTTCAAGGAGTAGTTCTATTTGAGTGATCTATCTATTGAAAATGAATATATTCTTGGTTCAAAGGATGGTATATGGAGTTATTGTGCTTCTTTTGGTCCATCTGAAACACTGTCTATATGTATGCTCCAAATGGCTTTTTTGTGCTTCTCAACTTGAAATGAAGACATTATAAGTGGACACACGGATGTGGTTTTACTTTCACATGTTTCTATACATAAAATATTTTCAACATGCTTAAATTATGTAACTACTTATATTCCTTAGCACTCATCCAAGGATATCATTAATCTATGGTTTACCCTTTCCCTGTGTGTTCCAGATACAATCCTTTGTCTTTGTAATGGCTGAAAAAGAAAACCGCTATATTGCGTATTTGGAGGATATGTATGAAGACAGAAAGGGCCAGAAAAAGGTAAAAGTGAGATGGTTTCATCACAACAGGGAAGTCAAGGGAGCTTTTACTCTACGCAACCCTCATCCTAGAGAAGTCTTTATCACCCCATACATACAAGTCATTAGTGCCGAGTGCATTGACGGCCCCGCCATAGTATTAACTCGTGAACACTATGAGAAGTGTCTGTCAGTTTTTCCCCAGGATCTACTCGGCAGAGTTCATTTTTGTTTGAGACAATTCAAGAGTAGCAAAATAAAGTCTTTCAAGCTAAGTAAATTGGGGGGTTATTTTGATCAGCCGATTTTCTCATGCTTTAGCCCCGACTTTTTTGACGAGAAGGAGGTCAGCTCCGGGGATGACGTGAAAGTTGGATCCAAAAGGAATAGAAGTTCTAGAGAGTTCAATAAGTCGAGATACGATTTATCATATAAGAAATACGACCTAATGAGTGGGGTGCCGAAATTCCCCAAGCACGTTTTTTCCGTAAATGAAAAAGTGGAATTCCTTTGCCATGACAGCGGTCTTCGTGGATGCTGGTTCAGATGCACGGTCTTAGAGGTCTCTAGGAGACAGATGAAAATTCGGTATGAGGACATCATGGATGAAGATAGCTGCACTAACCTTGAGGTATGTATGAAATTTATAAAATTCATTCTAAAGTTCAGCTCATACTTCTGGCACACAAATTGCATGAACCTGTGGGCATTTGGGTTGATAATGAGACATGGCAATCCATAACTACTTTCCTTTTTGTAAAATATATATATATATATATATATTTAGGAATGGATTCCTGCTAATAGAGTGGCCAAGACTGATAAACTAGGTATGAGGTATCCTGGGCGTCTAACCGTGAGACCCGCATATCTTTTCAAAGAATTGGTCGCTAACTTTGAAGTCGGATATCCGGCTGATGCTTGGTGGAGTGATGGTTGGTGGGAAGGTGTTATATCTGACACGAGTGATGCTAAAAACGGTTCCTATCAAATTTACATCCCAGGTTTTGTGACCCTGTTGCTAAATATTCTTTTAAGTTAAATCTCTTGAGAGAACGAGGATTTGTCTTCTTATCATGTTTTTTTCTTTCTTAGCAGGTGAAAATTTGTATCTGAGCGTCGACGTAAAAAACCTAAGAGTTTCAAAAGATTGGGTATGTGAACAGGGTTGGGTGGATGTTGAGCCAAACCCTAATATTCTTGGCATTATATCTGCAAATAGTATGGACTCCAAAGCTGATGATAATTCTCCATCACCCGATCATAAAGTTGTAGCGAATCACGAAGTTGAGAAGGATGATGATTTGGCAGGCATGACATTGACAAACGTCCCATTGCAAGACGAATGTATCAACAATGAGAAGGAAAGTAATCACGACGAGAAAGAGGAGAAAATGGATTATGGCCCAAGTGGTGGTGCAAACAATTCCCTTTGTAACAATGAAAGTGATGTGGTATATAGCATTGAAGGTGGCAGTGGGGACCACAACTTAGTGGATTGTGAGATTGCCGAGCTGGGATGTGAAGGGGAAGAAGCCATGGAGATCTTGACTAGCCGTTGACAAATAAAATCTTGTGGATTGAGTCTCGCTTAGATGTGTATGGTGATAGGGTTTATCGGGTTAAGTAGAAAATAGTTGTATATCAATCAAGTTTAGGTCGACTCATGTTTAAAGTATGGTTTTTGGTGTCATTTTGATGATGTACAGGAATGATGTTGAAGATGCTTCAAATTGAAGTCAATTCGTCTCACTCTCTGCTTAAACGACGTGAAAGGAAGGACCATTATTAACTATAGGTCCAGCCTAGGGTTTTGGAGGTATTTCTTCACTCTTTCTATCGTCAGTCTGTTATGAGTCTGTATGCAATTGTAGCCCTATGTGTGCTGTATTGCCCAAGAGAAACTACTTATTGTTATGATTTTTATTTTATTTTTTGTGCTTGCCTCGCAATGTGATACATTTGTTTGATCCTGCGAAGTATCAAGTGTGTTTAGAAATCTGCTACCAGAAAATTCTGTGGATGGAAGATTTTGGATATGCTGGTGCTTATTTAAT